TGATTTCTCCTGCTATTATTATTATTATTATTTATTATTATTATTATTATTATTATTATTTTGGTCTCAATAGTCACTTGTTATTCAGCAAGAACTGTTCTATACCTGGAAAAGAAAATGAAACTAATTTGAAGAGATTTTCACGTTTCCTTAACCACTTCTGTTAAGGTAATTTGAATTGTTTATTTCTAGTTCACCTCCTGAAGCATAATTTTAATAATCAAAAACAAGATCTGATCTCAGACTCTGTGACAAATTTCAGAAAAAAAGGACTCTGAAGATTTATGCAGCCCGATGCATCACTTCGGTTTTGCAGCAGCAGTTCACCTTCTTGCCCCCTGAGTCATTTATCCACGGTCATCGGAGAGGGCTGTCTGCGTGTTTCGTGCGTTCCCCATGCTTTAGTTCTGTCTTCCACACGCGTCATTTGGGAACTGGAATTCTCAGCTTGTGCTTGTTCTCGCCTCTGCCTGCAGCTGGCCTCTTCCTGTACCACAGTATGTCCACTAAGCCCTGGAGTTGTATGCAGGATCTACTTCCGTGTTAGAATTAGATTTTAATAAATAAAGCATTGCATTTTGGTTTTTGCCTTCAGAACATTCATAAACTAGCCTCATAGGACCCATTTCTCTTCCCGGGAATCCTTTGGCTCTCCATGCATTCTGGCTATGGCATTTCTGCCTCTGACTGTGGGATTTTCCGCTTATTGGTTGTATAACCTCACGTGAGTTGCTTCACCTGTCAGTGTCTCAGTTTCCTTGTCTATTGAGAAAGTAAATATCTTTATCACAGGAGGGGTGCAAATAGATGACGTCTATAGTAGTACCTGGCAGGGAGCTCTCTGTGAAGGTAGGGTTTCATTTCTTTTACTTTCTTTATTCTTATCTCCCAGCAGGGGGTCAACGTGGGGATGGGTTATTCCACAAGCAAAGGTTAGCCTTTCCTTGCTCAAAGCTACCTTCAGTGGTGTTCTCTTCCAGCCTCCCACTCTGGTACATTCCTCATCAGTTCTCCCTCATGCATCTTCAGTTACTGCTGAAAAATGTTTAATGCTTATCTAATCACATTTTTTTAAAAAGTGGAGGGAAGCCTCTTTGTTATCCCTGCTTCCCTTAAAACTATCATCTGACCCATCCTTTTCTTAGCCAAATAAACTTCTTTGAAAGAGTCACCAGTTCTACTTCAGAACCTCTTCCCAGTGGTCTATGAATGCTTACCAAACAATACTTCATCCCACTATTCTCTTGGCTTCACTATTTTAAATAGCCTTTACTTAAAACTCAGTCTTTATATCTATGAATAAGGACAGTCTGAATGTTCTTGAATTGCAGAACCATAAATATGTAATGCAAGCCACATATGTGATTTGAAAAGATCTAGTAGCCACATTAAAAAAGTAAAAAGCCTCATAAAAAAATGAAAAGCAACAATATATTGTGTTTAATCCAACGTACCAAGATAGTATTTCCACAATTAAGTAATTTGAACATTCTTAATGAGATATTTTTATTATTTTTTTTAATACTAAGACTATGCCCTGACCAATGTGGCTCAGTTGGTTGGGCATTGTCCCATAAACTGAAAGGTTGCAGGTTCGATACCTGGTCAGGGCCCATGCCTGTGTTGTGCGTTCACTCCCTGGTTGGGGGTGTCTGAGAGGCAACTGATCGATATTTCTCTCTCTCTCTTTCTCCTTCCCTTTCTCTCTTTCTAAAAATAAATACAACCTTTAAAAAAAATACTAAGACTATGAAATCTGCTGTGTACTTTATACTTAGAGTCCAACTCAATTTGGACTCGGGACATTCAACGTGGTCAGTAGCTCCCCGTGGTTAGTGGCTACCAATAGGACAGCGCAGGGCTGCATCGTTTGGCTGAGTTTTCTTGGCACCCCTCTTTAACTTCCAAGGCAGCTCTTGGTTTTCACTGAACATCCCTGATTGCTTCTTCCTTGCATGTTTGCTGATTTTCCTTTCCTTTCTCTCTGAATCCCTTCATCCTTAGATAGGTGTTCCACTTCCCCTGCAAAAAGAGATGTGCCCCATTCCCTCTCCACTGTCATCCCACCTCCTCTGGGCACCGAGTACCTAGCATGTCATGTCAAACCACTGCAATGACCATGAGCACAGCACTTATATCCAGCTGAAAGGTGGGAACTGGAAAGAGAGGAAAAATGTTCTCGTTTCCCCTTTAGACCATCATTCCCTGGACTTGATTTCCAGTGCATACTCAGAATGCTTTTTCTTCTTCCTTTCTTCCTACACACCCCCAACCCTTGGCTCCTATTTTCACGTTTTGCAGGGACCGTGTTCTGTAGAATGTCCTAATGCATCATTTACTGTACTTGTCAGTCAGGCTTTCGGACAGCAGCTGATAAAATTTCAGTGCTTAAAAAAGTGCTCTTGGAATATCTATGCAGCTGTCTGCAGTAGGTACGCAAAGGACGCAATGACTGATTTACTGGGTGGCGGAATATTATGGCTGATGTGCTCTCAGTTATTTTGGCTGTTGTGTTTTTACACCAGAAGGCCTCTGAGAGCCTATTCTGCACTCAACCCACAGCACACGCAGTACCTCTGACCTAAGAGGCTGCTCATGTGCGTGAATGTCTCGTGATGAGGTGTAATACCCATACGGTGAACTACTTACCATTCACTTTATGCCAACTTGTTTTTATGTTTTTTCCCCCAGAGCATGTATGGTAGTAAAAATGTCTAGCTCTGGAGAGTCAGCTTACTTCATCAGGCAGGTCAGGATATATGGACTATCACCGTAGATCTTTAACTTCATTCTCGTACAGGGAATAGTACCGCCATGCAGGAATAGTATCCTTCGGGGGTTGAAACAGTATTTGCCAAATGTAGAAATGAGTCAGTAGATACCTTTTAAAAAATCAAACAACTCATTCCTTTCCTGCTTTCATCACCACTCGCATGTGCTAGATGACAAGTCTTTGACTCACAAAATTAAATAGGATTATCTGGGGGTTCAGGCTTCTCACCTGTTTTTAGAGATTAACAAACACCTGTTTGGACCCATTTTTTATTCACTCAGATTCTATATTAACTTTCCCTATTAAAGCATTCTTGAGATTTCTGAGTTCCTCCCACTTTAGCTAAGAATAAATAAAAGTTACTCACAATACTTAATGAACTCAATGATCTCTGAAAGTTAGTTATGTTCATGATTCCTTTTTCTTTGCTGAAACCCTTAAATCATTTACTTGTGTTTTTATATGGGCTCACTGCACCTTTTGTGAGAAATTATTTGTATAAAATTAAATAACAATATATTTCATAGCTCTTGATGAAATTCCTTGTATTCTAATATGCACCATTCTACATATCTAGTTCAAGATGGGATACCAGAAAGACAGGCTATTTTCAAATAATTGTAAATGCATAGACATACTTTAGATACGGTGATTGGCTAATATTTGTATTATACAACAGATTACCAAATGTTATTAAAAATGAGGTGTACTTCACATGAAAACTGCTACAGCGTCACCATTATTCTTTTCTTTGCAATGATGGTGGCCTAAAATGATGATTAACAAAGATTTCCACTTAGTAGAAAGCCAGAGAAGCCCTCTTAGCCCATCTTTTACTGCCTCTTCCATGCTAGAAAATGCTAAGCATCGGTATAGGCCGTTTGGTGTCATAACCAGCTTTGGGATATCAGCCCTGCAGTGGTTATGGAATGTCCTATTCTAGGACATTCTCAACTTCTCAACTTCTAACTCAACTTGTGTGTGTGTGTGTGTGTGTGTGTGTGTGTGTGTGTGTGTACATTTATTGTGTGGAGCTTCAGGACTAACCTAGTTTTCTCCTTAGCCACGTACTTCAAACATTTCAGTTCAGAGAAATCCTGAGGCTGTTGTACGTGAGACAGCCCAGGCTGGAGAGGAACATAGTATAACGCCCGCCATTTGGAGTGGATTGTCAGGGTTAATTTTTTCAGGTTTGAAGTAATTCGCCCTCAAGCCCAGGGCTTTAAGACTTTAGGTTACCCAAGGATGGCAGCCAGGCACAGTGGAAAGAGCATGGACTTTGGACTAATCTGGGTTTGGGGACAAATCCTGGTTTTATCACTTACTTTGTGGCCCTGGATAAGTTGCTTTACCTCTCCTCATCTCCATAGTCATGATATTATCCTTGTTACGGAGTTGTTGAGAGAAATAGGGATGATGCCCAAAAAGCAACCAGCAAACAGTTTGGCATGTCGTGGACTCTCAGAGATCAGTAGCAATGATGTGACCATGCAATAATGCAGTATAGGATTTGAGAGTAAAAATCCAAGTCTCCTGTAATTTGGATAAGGAATCTGCAGCCAGAAACCTCATGTCATCAGTTCAATGTCAACTTAAGTCATCATTTAAAAATGTACTACTTCTTTCAAGCCCTTTACTATTTGTTGTTTTAACACTGTGTAAGACACGTATTGCAAATCAAGTCTAAATGAATGTGAGTCATACCCCATTTACAACATCAACAAAATTTTAATAACTTCTTCATTTATTTTCTGAATACAAATTTCCAGCAATTGCAGCAAACCATATTTTTGCATTGTCTTTTTATAGTAGAAAATAATTCTACATATGCTGTTTAATATCGTCATGTGGGTCTATGTAACTATATTCAGATTTGTATTCTTATCCAGGAAAGGGGATTTATTTATTAAAGCATGCATGATTTATAGACTGTGTGCAAATCTATTTTGGTTCTTCTTTGTTAGGAGGTTTTTGAATAATTTCCTTTATGTCATGTAATCTGAACTGATATATTGTTTTCATCCTTTACAGGGATTATTTTGTTTTTTTCTGTTAGGCATGTAGAGGTTGAGAAAAAATAAAAACCTGATCATAATTAGTCAATACATAAGATGAGTTTATACAAAGAGAAATTGAAGTAGCTTAAATTTTGAAAGGTTAAGGAAATAGTTCTGAATTTTTACTCAGTATTCTAATTATTTGAAATTTGATCTCTGTTACATCTTAGGTTACTTGTTGGTTCCAGAAAACCATAAGAGATTTACGGGAACAAAGTCTGGGTTCATCACTTTCAGACAATGAGGAGCTGATCCGTAAGCACGAGGAACTGAAAATAAAAGCAAAGGTAAGAGACACATTAAAAAAATAATTGAGCCCTGGCCAAGTTGCTCAGTTGGTTAGAACATTGTCCCGGTATGCCAAGGGTGCAGGTTCAATCCCTGGTCAGCAACCAATGAATGCATAAGTAAGTGGAACAACAAACAGATGTTTCTCTCTCTTTTTCTCTCCCTTCTTCTCTCTCTCTCTAATTTAATACTCCTCTAAACTAGAGGAGTATTAAAAACTCCCTTTGACTAACCCACTATTTACATTGAAAAGATTCTGATAGCATTAACTAGTACCACTGCCCACTAGCTGTTCTTTTTGGAATAATAATGAACAAAACAACAGCTTCTACCACAATAACTATTTTTTTAAAATAGTTACTACGTGTCAGACATTACATTTAGTATAAGAGATGCATTACCTAAATTATTGCAAAATCCCTGAGGAATAGGTGTTGTTTTCCTCATTTTACAGGTCAAAACGTGTAAACTAAAAACAGAGGCTTGGAGAAGCAAGGTAACTTTACCATGTAATATATCTTGTCAGTGGCAGAGTTGGAATTTGATTACAAGTCTTACCTAACTCCAGGGCTCAAGCTCTTAAACACTATACTCTGCCCCCTTTTTTAAAAAAAATGTTTTTCTACACTGAGGTCTCATTATGCTATCACTTTGATGACTTCCCTGGTATTGTTTACTTGCTGTTTTCATTTATTTTTCCCTAGTTCCTTAATTTGCTTCACAGTTTTTAGTTTGCACAAACTAACGGCTGCCAGCTGGGCAATCGCTTGTAGGTGTTTGAATGTGCAAAATGGAACCATGAAGTGCTGAAAACAAGAGGGGCAGAGCAGCTGCGTGGTAGTGTCCCCTCCACATTATGTCCGGTTATTTGGAAATTGACTCATTTGTCCATGTGGAGTGTATAAATACTTTCCAAAGTTCTTTACTGGTGCTCCATTTTGGCTGCAAGAAAACAAAACTCTATTTGTCGTAGATAGAGTGTGAACAGTGAATGCTTTAATCAATATCAAGGCTTGGGGAACTTTCTATTATTAATGTCTCAGGTGACTGGTAGTTGTAGGTACAGCTACATCAAAAAGCTCTGGAAAACAATATGCCAACACTACTAGACAATGGGTGAGAAGATAGAAGACAAATCAAATAAATATTATGTGTTTGGGAAGATGGAGTTTGGGTGAGGGCAGGAAAGGCAGTAGGTTGCATTTATCTAGACTGAAATCTCTTAAGGATCATGATGCTTTTGTTTTTGCTTCTCTTTGAACCCTGCAGCATACATAAGTATTCAAAGTTGGCTCTGAACATTTACCAGACTGATAAGAGATACAGTTACAAAGACCATTATGACTGATGATGTTTTAAGTATTTAAAAAATTTTTAGCATTTAGTTTATCTACTTATGAGTTAAAAAAAAAACTATATAACAATTTATTCTTTGTGTGTTAAACAAGTTTTATCAGTGAGAATTCTCTCAAAATCCCTAAGTAGTAAGCACAAGAAACAACCTGAGCTGTGTAGGGTAGCTGTATCCTTTAAAGCAAGCAAACAAAAGTGCAGTATCCACATAACGTATACATACTGTGGACTTACGGTTTCTCACAGCCCTGCGGACAGTCATATTAGAATATTTGTTAATGTATAACCTCAGTTCTAGTTGGACACAGTTTTTATCATAGTTTACTGTTCATATTTGTAGCGTTGATAGTCATAGATAGAAAAACATAGATATTCTTTCCACCATTATCTAAATGTTGCAGACATAAGGGGTTTAAGAAGTAAGTTTTTAATCATAAATATTTTATTATAGAAAGGGCCTCATAGAAAATTTCTAAACTATAAAGAAAATAAAAGGGAATCATTCAAACCAAAGATAATTATTATTAAGATAACCATTCCTAATATTTTTGTACATTCCCTTTCAATCTTTTCATATACAAACCTAGAAACACAGAACATCAGAGTTATGCTTTTTTATTTATAACTGTATCATAATATTTTTCTGTGCAACCGAATAACCTTTAGCTGCAAAATACTTCATTATATGGATGAATTCATATTGCAGAATTATGCATTTTAATTATGTGTAGAAACCATACCATATGAATATCCAAGCAAATATTATTTTTTTAAAAGGGTACAAATTCCTGATAAAAACCAGACAAATCAACTGCTTCCTTTCAGGGTCTCGAGCCACTCAGAAACTACAAATCTCATGGGGAAGCTGACTATTAAGAGCTACTCAAATAAGTAATTTTTGAGCTGAACTGGTGTTGGAAACTGAGTGAGAGAAAACTTATTTCTCTATGTCATCCTTGAGAATAAATTTATTTTCTTTAAAAAAAAATGGTATTAGTTTGCTTTCTTGGGAGTTCCTCTTTTATTACTTACCTCCAAGCATTCTTTATGGGATAAGATTTTCCATCCAAACTATAGTTCCAGCCAACGGAGCCCCCAATCTCAATACCATCTTCCAAGATTACCAAAGTATTGAGTAGTTATTTAGTTTAGGTCAATCTAGTACAGATGAACACTCAGACACAACTCGTTGATAAAAAGGTTTCAAGACACGTGCTATCATTTAGGACACTCGGAAATCCAATGGCAGATAACGGGTTATTTAAGGCATCAGGGGCCCATGGATCACATGGGTTGAGAGGGACCCCATGAAGGTAAATGCAGAAGCTGGAGTGGCCCTGTGTTCTGGGGTGATCGAGGATGGCTTTTCAGAAGAATGGGGTTTGAGTGGATGGACGGGATATGAGCAATTGGTTAGGAGATGGTGGTTGTTTCAGAATATTGCAAAATAATGATCAGACCAGTTTTGTCTATGACGAGTGTGAAAAGTCCTAGCCGTGTTTAACACAGAGAAGAGAGACTAAGCGTTGTTGTCTCAGAGGTAATACTTACCGACAGTGGTTCCACAGGAGAGAAATGCTCCCCATGCATGATCATTACAGGGAAGAAAACTTCTAGGGGCTGAGAAGTAGAAGAGATTCCTGAGGCTGTGGAAGGTGGGCCGAGGTGACCTCCGAACTGCCCGTGTTTCTGACTCCATAAAGGAGGCAGGGTTCAGATGGCAACATTAGTTGTTTTTGTTATATTTAAAGTGACGCGAGTGTAAAAGACACCTTTTCAGAGCTGGCCCAAAGGAGTGGACGAGACTGGGGAAACAGCAACATTTCTGAAAAGGAGAGACATAAAAAGCATGTTTGATCGTGTCTATTAAGCCGCTTTAACCATGGAGAAGAAAGATTCTTTTAGTCTCTTTCTATGATTCTCTGGTACTTTAGATAATCACTTAGTCTCCTTTTACCTATCTATCCACTCATTGTCTTTATTTCCTTATCTTTAAAAATTTGGCCCCCCAGAGTGGGGTTACACAAACCCTAATTCATCGGAAATCTCTGGTTTGGCCATTCTCCTGCTTTATTTTATTATTTCTCCCTTCGTTCTCTGTGTCCCTCACATTCCTGTTCTCACAGGCACCCATTCTAATGGGTTTAATATGTGTTTTTAGACACATTCCCATTCCTAAAATTAATACACAGTTAGATGTTTTCAATTTGCATAAGTGGTGCTAAGGCATAGATCTCCCCATGATTCTTCCCACAACTCTGCTCACATCTAGTTCACAAAGGTCCTTGTGTTTTCACTGTTGTCATACCGAGATGCAGTGTAATTTTGGAAAGTTCTGTTACACAGATATTGATGTTCTACCCTTCATAATTTTAACTGCCTCCCGTTTCTTTATCCCTTCCTAATACCTGAACTTTTAGGTCCCTGATTGTTCTACTGAAGTCCTGCTCTTCAGCCCTCCTGCCAGATTCTTCACTTTGGTGATTATATTTTTCATGCCCAATCCCTCACAGTGATTTTTTTTTTTCATAACTTGTTTTCCGGCTTCATTTGTCTAATGTCCTCCTTAGACCTTAAAGTATAGTTTATTTATGTATTAAATTTTGGATCTTTCCAGTGCATTCATTCCTTTTTTTCCAAGGTATTTCAGTGTGTTGCTTGTAATCGTTGGACACCGTTTTCCCTGTGAGTTAACACTCCCTCGGCACCTCAGCAACTTTGACAGGCAAGGCCTGGGACGTGCAAAGACCAATGCTCTAACGTGTCCCTTTCTGGATGAGCTGCTGGGGCCATGGTGCCCCTGAGTGCAGAGGCTTCTGTTGTTACAGGGAGGGTCCAGCCATTCCCAGTTTACCTTTCTACCACAGACACAGCGGAGGGGACCCCTTGGATGACCTGCCGCTGATTGGACTCTGGACCCTGCTTTATTCCAAGAGCATTTTCCTAGGTTATGTTCTATCTCGCTCGCATGGTGGAGAGTTAGAGAGGGCCCACTAAGAAACAGGTCAGTGGGCTTATTTCCCAGATATTAGCTCTCGACTGGTTGGATTCCAGGGCTATCCTGATGTTGTTCCTCTCCCCTGGCTAATGCTGAGCGAGACTACTGCTTTTTATCCTGAAAAGGTACGTTGACAAACAGTGATGAGGCAGGTGGAGAGAGGAAGCGTCGTGTCAGAAACAGCCCCCTGGCTTTATCTCCTGTTGTGGCATCCAGCTTATTCTTGTCCAGATGGCCCGTGACCCTGACACGGAGACACAACCAGCTTTGGCTCCTCAAGGAAAGTTCTCCTTTCTATAAACTTTACTCCCACTTGTTGGCTGTTACAGGAAGGACCAGCTATGTCATTTAATTTATAAAATGAAAATATAGAGGTTTTCTTTAAAAGTTATTGGGATTTCAACGCAGTGACAGCAGCACATTAACCCAAGCATGGGGCCCTTCTGTGGTCGCACAGGTCACTGGACAGCAAAGCCATCCTGTTTACAGTGTTAAGAATTCTTGAAAGACCTGGTAACCTTTCATGGTTAAACGCTTCCCACAGCGACTCTACTAACCTCCTCCCACCTGGACTGGCAAGTTTTCTAAAGGTAGAACTTATATTGCTATAACGGGTTACATCTCCATGGAAAAAAAAAAAACAGGTTG